TGTCTGTCTGTCTGTCTGTCTGTCTGTCTGTCTGTCTGTCTGTCTGTCTGTCTGTGTGCTGTGTGTCTGTTTGCCTGTCTGTGTATTTGTCTGTGTCACTCTGTATGTCTGTGGGTTTGCCTGTTATGTCTGTCTGTCTGTCTGTCTGTCTCTCTCTCTGAATCAGTTTTTCTGTCTCTTTTTGTCTGTTGATCTCTGTCTTAGTCTGTCTGTTGTTCTGTCTCAATATGTCCCTGTCCTTCATACTATTTCTGTCTCTTTATCTTAGCCGATCTCTCTGCCTCTCTGTCTCTTTTGACTTAATCTGTCTCTGTCTTTCTGTCTCAGTGTGTCTCTGTCGATCTCAGTCGGTCTTTCCGTCTCAGTTAGTCTCTCTATCGATCTGTCTCTCTGTCTCCCTGTCTCAATTGTCTCTCAATCTCACCTAGTCTCTCTTATCTCCCTCTCGACTTAACGTGAGTGTGTGGGCCAGCAGGAGACACAGTAACCTTGGGACGTCTCGTGGAATAAATACTGTGATCTTATGAGACACTTTTTCAAGAGATTTTCCTCCTTACGGTAGAAAGTATTAAGGGTGATTCTCCTGATGTAAATAATAAGAGTTTTTTTTTTAAAGATGGTTGACATTGTTAGTTTTCGCTGTTAAGAAATTTTTATTTATTTGGATTTTTAATTTTTTTTTTAATGTGGTTCAGTTAAGAAAACTTTATTCTTGGTTGTATTAAGAAAGTGTAATTAGTTTATTTTTTTCATTAGCTGTTATATAATTTCATTGGAGAAAATGCAACTTTTTTATATTAGTTTTGTAGTCAAGGCAAAATTCATCAAGTAAATGAAAAATAAGAAAAACATAGCAAAAAGTAGCGAAAAGTAGGAAAAATATTAGAGTAAGAACACTTGAAATAAAAGTATAGAAACCTTGAGGAAAGTTTACATAAAGTCAAATACTTCTCCCATACAGAAAAACAAACCTTTCAAACTTTTCAGAAAATAGAAATACCATACACTCCCCACATACAAAAGTAGGAAACCTTATTACAACTTTGAGGACAACTTCGAGGGGCCTCTCTACGGTGTCCATTTATCCTCTCAACTATGGGGTGTGGGGTGGTGGGGAAGTGGGGGGTGGGAGGGAGGTGACGAACAGATCCCCGAGAGAGTAGGATGGCGTCGGGTCTTGTCAACTAAGGAGGATCGTCTGGCACTTGTGCATGCTTGTAGTGGTAGTGTGGTGGTGTGGTGAGGTCTGTCTGTGTCAGGTCTGAAAAAAAGAGAGAGAGAGAAGAGAGAGAGAGAGAGAGAGAGAGAGAGAGAGAGAGTCAATTCATTTTGAGATATTTCTATAAGTACATCTAATAGCACACTAATTACCAATGCATACTTACATATTCCATCTGAGTCACAATAACAATAAGGTATGAGACCGATTTATTTGTAGAAGCGACCAAATCCTCCTATCCTAACTCTCTCTCTCTCTCCCCTCTCTCTAATCCCACCTATTTTCACCTCACTCACAAAACAATAATCACAACAATTTCCAACCCTAAAAATCCCTCATACCATTTTCACTACCAAATGAATATCACACCAATAAACACCTGACTTCAGCACCAACAGCCACACCCCAACAGCCATATCTACACCAACAGCCACACCTGCTCCACCAACAGCCATATCTGCTCCACCAACAGTCATACCTGCTCCACCAACAGCCATATCTGCTCCACCAACAGCCATACCTGGTCCATCAACAGCCATACCTGCTCCACCAGCAGCCATACCTGCTCCACCAACAGTCATACCTGCTCCACCAACAGCCATACCTGCTCCACCAGCTGCAGCCTGCTCCACCAACACCCATACCTGCTCCACCAACAGCCATACTCTGCTCCACCAACAGCCATGGCCTGGTTCCACCAGCAGCCATGGGCCTGCTCCACCAACAGCCACCTGCTCCAACAACAGCTATATCACTCCAATTAACAGCCATATCTGCTCCACCAACACCCATACCTGCTCCACCAACAGCCATACCTGTCTCCACCAACAGCCATACCTGCTCCACCAACAGCCATATCTGCTCCACCAACAGCCATACCTGCTCCACCAACAGCCATACCTGCTCCACCAACAGCCATACCTGCTCCACCAACAGCCATATCTGCTCCACCAACCACTCCTTTACAGAATCCCGATACATCTCTACCACCCTCCACCGCACATCCTAGTCTTATCATCAATAACCTGACACATGTTAGACGGGTATTAATAATAGCTTCTGCTGTAACAAATCTCTGTAGGACTATAGGTCTTGGGAGGGGGGGGGGGCGTGGGTGATTCTCCTTGACTCGATTCCTGGTGAGATGATTGTGGTGTTTTCTGCGTCGAGCTGGTTTATGGGTTGTATTCTATGGTGGATGTGGTTGGATGGTGTGGATGGGTGTGGTTGGATGGGGGTGGATGGGTGAGGTGGATGGGTTGGGTGGGGTTGAGGGAGAGG